GAAGCAGGTTGTGTTGGTACCGTCCAGTACTTGAATGTTTTAGTATTGTGCTGTACATAGTGGTATTTTCCAAGGTGCAAACACGTTTCAAGGATAGCAGTCACAATTATTGCATTTGTATTTCAATTATCCATTAAATTATTTCTGCATGAACACAGTCTTTGATTTGAACCTGTGAGAACCTCATCATCAGGACAAAACTTTTTGCCATTTGGTGCAGAAATATTTTTGCAACAGACGTTGTACAATTTGCAAGAAATATCAAATTAATTTTTGGTTAAATTCACAATTTTTTTTTGAACTTAAAAATAATATACAGAAATTAAATTGTGGTGATTCTTATGGTGAGGATTTCCTCTTGAGTAACATGTTAGAAAAATTAATATGTACCTAATTTACTGTAAGTGCTCTATGCTTACAGTTCAGCACATTTTTTTCATATATAAGAACCTAATATACTGTAATTTCAGATATTGAGATAGTGGGTTTTATAATATAATAAGCAGAAACTGTTTCAAAATAATTATATTAGAGGAAGAGAAAGTCACACACACCTAGGAATGCATTATGGATTAGATAACTTTATTCATGCAACAATACAATCAAGCTAATCATTTCATCAGTTTATCTTTCCGCAGGTTTATGTCATGGCCAGCAGCGTAGTATGACCCTGGTGCTTTAGTGCTTAGTTTTGATTATAATAATATATCATGGCCAATGAAATACACTTTTCCTGTGGGTTTACACATAAAAAGCACTTTTTATGTGGCAGATTCTGCATGCTGATAAAGCAGTGATCATTTTGATAAAAATGTAAATTATGGTAGTTGTTAAAATAACTGAGAAAATCAGTCTGAATATTAGGCTGAAGTAAAATAGGTTTAGTGGGACTGCAGTAATTTAAATTATATTACATTAATGACTCTCAAAATCATAATAACACACTTGTGCACAAACCATGGTACAGGTGGAGTTAGAATACTGGCCTCAAGTTTTACTACATTAATTGTAGCAAAATTAGGTGATTTTATACCTAATGTTTTTTAACCTTGTCAGCTATTATCCCCCAAGGTAAGATTACACAAAAAAAATTCACCATCATTCACTGAATTATTATTATTATTATTACTACAATAAAAACTGAGCACTAAACTCACAAGGGTGATACAGCACTGGTGGGTAGGATGTGCTAAAGATCACTATTATTGTCTTACCAGAAGTGTGGTGATGTCACAATTTATGATACCTTCTTGACATAATGGAAACAACTTTGAACTTAATACTATGGCTATGATTCTTAATATAATGAAAAACTGCAGGACTTTGCTGCGCATTTCTAACAAACCTCTTATGCTCATTTATTAAAGTGATGCAATGGTTACTACTTGTTTGTCCTATAAAAGACTGATGGGTGGTTAATTTTTTAATGTACTGATTTATGCACCTAGCATGAGGTACATGTACTGTGCAAAGGGGTTATATTTTTCATGTAGTAATTTTAAAGTTTTGTGGTAAAAAAAAATTAATATTAGCTTCCAGTATGCTGCTTTGATTTGTCTTAGTGGCTGTGTTATGCAGAACTGGTATTGACCCTTGCTTTAGCTCTTCTGCCTTAGTTTTCTATTCCATTATCCTTATTCTGGTTTTCATGCCATTTTATGAATAGCCTTTGTCCCTCTACACCCCTTGTGAACCAATGGTTCCCTCTCTGTTTGGTATTCTCTCTTCTCTTTACTCAGTACTGAAAATGACCTATACAGGCTTTAGCGCTTTTTGTGAATATAAACATTTTTTTTAACACGTTGGCTGTTTCCCACCGAGGCAGGGTGACCCTAAAGAAAGAAAAATTCAAAAAGAAAAAAACTTTCATTATCATTCAACACTTTCACCATCACTCATACATAATCACTATCTTTGTAGAGGTGCCCAGGTACGACAGTTTGGATAGTCTCTCCAAACTGCCAATATCCCAAACCCCTCTTTTAAAGTGCAGGCAATGTACTTCCCATTTCCAGGACTCGAGTCCGGGTAACCAGTTTCCCTGAATCCCTTCACAAAACATTACCCTGTTCACACTCCAACATCTTGTCAGGTCCCAGAAACCACTTGTTTCCATTCACTCCTAATAATAATAATTGGGAGCAAGGGGCTAGTACTTTAGTTTTTCTTTTTAGGTCACCCTGCCTTGGTGGAATACAGCTGGTTCATTGAGAAAATAAAGTAATAATAATAATAATAATTTGGCAGTTTGGAGGGATATGTTGTGTATCTTTATACGTATATGCTTCTAAACTGTTGTATTCTGAACACCTCTGCAAAAGCAGTGATAATGTGTGAGTGTGGTGAAAGTGTTGAATGATGATGAAAGTATTTTCTTTTTGGGGATTTTCTTTCTTTTTTGGGTCACCCTGCCTCGGTGGGAGACGACCAACTTGTTGAAAAAAAAAAAAAAAAAAAAAATTCCTCTCTGTTATAAATTTATGGTTTTCCTGTATATCTTGAGCAATTCCTCATTTAGTTCATATGCTGTACTACTATTCCTCCCACAATGCCATATCCAGAAAGCTATTCTGTGTAATTACTCTTATGTATTTTAATTTTTATGCTTTTCTCTACCCTCTTCTTCCTATTCTCAGCCTCCACTAGGTAACTGAAACATGGGACCATGTGATACTTGATAGCTAGATCTATTTCATTGTGGTTGAAGACCCAATCTAATCTTGCTGGTTCCTGCCCTCTCATCCATGTGGTTTCATTCACATGTTGACTCAGGAAACTTCACATTAATACCTCCATCAGTTTATTGCCATTTCACCCTTCTGGGTTTAGCAATTAGTTTTGATTATAATTGTGGTTGTGGTTCAATTAATCCATAATTAGTCGTTTTTCTTTGCTTTGTGTTGTTGCTTCCAGTATTTGTGCTACTGCTGTTACTCTCCTTGTATATTTCATAGTCTTGTGTTTAGCATAATGTTGTAAATAAGTGTGATTAGTAGCTTAGGTTTCCTCTTGTTCCTGAAGTTGCCAAAAGAAGTTGGTCATCTCAAAGTTCCCTATCTCCTGAAGAGTGCCTTGGTATTGATGAAGGGATCTTGATTCAGTAACCTGGAGCTCTCCTTTCCCAAATTAAACCTGATTACCCACCACATATCTCATTCCCAGATGCTATATTATCCCTCTCTTCAAGAGAGGTCCTTGATGCTGACAAGGGCTCTTAATTTAAGGAACTGGATTTATGTTCCATCTCACTGAATCGGACCTGAATGCCTTTCATTACCCCAGGAATTGGATGACTCCTGTTGGTTTAGCAGGAATATAATAATATGGATAAGAATGAGTGTAAGAGGTGGGAAAATTGTTAGTAGAAAGGAAAAAAATAAATCTCTCTTCTTTATTAATGAAGGTAGGAAGGTGCCTTGATGCCATTGAGGGGCTATTGACCCAAGGAATATGAGCCACCCTCTCCTTCCTTAGATCAAACTTGATTATGCACCTCTCATTCCCCAGGCACTGTATGGCCCCTATAGAAATTAAGATACTGGTAGCAGAAAATAATTTTAGTACTGTATATGTTTTGCCTAATTAGGCTGGACTTCTTGCCATTGTCAACCATGGCTCCTATGAGCTTAGCCAGAGCTGTATGACCCTGGTGGGTTTAGTGCTTGGTTTTGATTATAATAATAATCCTATGGGCTTAGAGTTTCCTTATGAATATAATAATACACATATGCCTGGCCTCAAACAAAATTACAAACGTGCCTCAAGGAGTTCAGGTATTTAACGATGATGTAGATGCTATTAAAATTATGGCCCATTTGAGGTTAATGATTTCTTGTGAATATAACATTTTGTGCATTTATAAAAGTCGGGGATGGTAGGACGAAGTGGAACATTCAAGCAGCCTCAGGAAGAAATACCTGGAGTATATACAAATATTTTTTCCCAAAAGACTTTTTTATTGTCTATTCCCTTGATACTGGTGAAGGGCTCTTGATAATAATAATCTTTATTTCTACAATATACGTACAAGGTATAAGAATTCGAGCAGCCTCGCTTTCCTTGGATCAAGTCCAATTACCCTTCACAAGTATGTCGATACTGAAGGGCTCTTGATCCTAGGAACTGGTGCTCCCATTGTCCAGGCACTGTATGACCCCTATGGGTTTGGCGGGTTTGTACATATGATACTGCAGTAATAACCAAGATAACTGTTATCAGTCATCATGGTAGATACACAAGTGTTGAGCTAAACTATCATTGTAGACATTTCCATAAAATTAGTAATTTAGCGTCTCAATACATGTTGAAAAACGTTTATAATTGTGTTGTAAGTAGTAAAAGGTCAGTAAATATTTTTGTCACAGTTCTGCTTTGTGAAGATCAATATCAGTACGTTATATTCTGAGAGGAAGTAGGGAAAGTAGGTAGGTACATATGCAACTGCGTCACCCCGGGCCAGAGGAGTTTTAGTGCCTTGCATAAGTAAGATTATTATTATTATTATTATAATGGGAGAGAGCTAACCTCATAGGGATTATAGAGCGCATGTGGGGGGGATGGAAGATTATTTAGGCTCAGTTCAGGGAACCGGAGCACAGAATCAATTCCCTTGATCAAGAGCCCCTCACCACCGTCAAGGAACTTCTCGTGAGGGGAGATAGAAAAGGTGTAGGTGAGGTACATAGATCATTACACCATGGTACGTCAGATATGGATTAGGTTCAGTGCCTTGGATGATGGGAAAGACGTGTAGGTGAGGTACATGGTCCATTACACCACGGTACGTCAGATATGGATTAGGTTGAGTGCCTTGGATGAAGGTAGAGCGAGGAAGTAAGAGAGGTACCATTGTTCCACTGTAAGTCAGACGTGGAGTTTGAGTACCCTGGATGTAGAGAGGATAAAAAATAATATACATGGACCATTGCATCATAGTAGGTCAGACACTAAGTAGTTTAAGTTTCCTAGAATGAGAGAGAGAGAAAGAGAGGGTGTAGGGTAAGTACATGAAGCATTGCACCACTGTACGTCAGAGGTGCAGGAAGGTTAGCTATGTCACCGCTGCTGCTGCTGCTGCTGCTGCTGCTGCTCTCACAGTCTGCCAGCCACCATCACCGCCACACCCGCTCTCTCCCACTTCTTAACACCTCCACCACCTCCCACTGGTGTTACAACACAGTGTTACGGTGTTATAAACACCTTGTGAATGTGTTAGCAACGTCAGTCTTCTCGTACCCTCACCAACGCCACCATAATAACCACCATGGCGAAAAATAGCCGCAGTAAGACGCATATTTTATGCATGGCAGCGTAGCATCGACTCCACAATGTGGTAAGTTCTATACAAACTTTCCTAATTACATTATATGCATTACTCCATTATATACACAGATCAGATCTAGTAAGATTTGAGTAAATTATTGGAATGTCACTATGTATGGCGCTAAACAATGAATATTTTAAAATATAGAATGCGTAGTTAGTGAATCATAATGTTCAATGATATATCTCCACATGTACGTTATTATGTATATGACAACTCTAAATATAATTCATGGACTCCAAGAAGGATAAAAGAATCCAGGAATGTAATATATCAAAGCTTGCATAACGGTATATATGTCTAGTTTACCTTGCAATATCATTTTCTTCACCTCATGAGAATATTTGGTCTTGTATTGTGCCAGAAGCTCTCATTTACACTATCTTAATTTTTACAACATACATTGAAATAGTTTTTATGGTATATGCTGAACTATGTACATTTTTTCCTGGGATGAGTCGCTTCGAGGGAGGACTTTGATAATACATTTATTTCCTTTCAGCAATATACAGGTAATATTTGCATATAATAAAATATTCCTAGGACCAAAAAAAAAAAAAAAAGCCACTGGCATGCTGTGTAATTCATTCAGACAACATTATTGTGAAAGACGTCTTGATCCAAGGAATTAGAAAAACTCTACTTACTGTGACGACACAGAGGGATGCCTCCCATGGTGGTCACTGGTCTGTTTGTGGGGGTCTAGGATGGGCCTCCTGGCCCCGCCTATATCACCCTTGCTGGTTTAGCGCTTCACAATGAATATTAATAATGGTCCGGGAGTGAGAGTATTATATGTATATTGCATAAAACTGTATATGTATGTGTTGTCATCAGTTTCTTTCTCTAAGAACTCCAAGGGAAATACTATGTCACTTAGACTTCTTTGAGTTATCCTAGGTAATTTACACTATGATATTGTACTTATGTGTACCTGTACCTAAATAAACTTACTAAGGTGCCTTGAGGCTAGTGCTCTTGATTCAAGGAATTGGAACTGTTGTCCCTTTCCTTGAACGACCTCTCAAAACAGGTCACAGGTATGCCACAATTATATTATTATTATTATTATTATTATAATCAAGGGGAAGCGCTAAACCCGGAGGATTATACAGCGCCTGGGGGGGATGTGGAAGGCATTCAGGCTTAATTCGGGGAACTGGAGCACAGATCCAATTCCCTAAATCAAGAGCCCCTCACCAACATCAAGGAACCTTCCTTGAGGGGCCACAATTATAGATACTGGTGAAGGGCTCTTGATCCGAGTAATTAGAATTACCCTCTTCATAGATCAACCCTGATTATCTCCTATTTACCAGGGGCTGTATAACCCCTACGGGTTTAGCACTATAGAATAACGGAGGAAAACTGAAGTCTTACATGAGGATGTTGGAACTTGTAGTATAAAGTAAGGGAAACAAGATGGGGCAGGAAATGTGATAATTTAAGCTTACAATAGTGTGCTAGGATAATGTCTAATAAAAAGGAATAGAGCGAGTTTTGTTTGAAGTGAGCTGAGGCAGGAGAGCAGCTCAGCTATTAGCTTGCAGAGCACTAATGTGACATTCGAGGGTCAAAATAAGAGGTTAGGTAAGGCTTGGGTTTTGTCAGGAAACGGGACAAATTTTTCCTGACGCGGGTTTTAGTCATTTGATCCACAGATGGAGGTTTTGATCATCTGACCGAGACCTTCCACTGGCTTACCCCTCCACCCCTTGAAAAATTATGATTACGATTACAACCATTAATTAACCTTAAGATAAGAGAATGTTGTACCTATTTCTTTAGGATTTGTTCTGCGTACTCTTACGTTCATGCATTTTCATTTAAAGGTGTACCTTGATGCTACTGAAGTGCTCTTGATCCAAGGAATTTCATCTACCCTCTTCCTCTGATCAGATCTGATTGCCTTTCATTTCCCATATACTATATGATCCCTACTGGGTTAGAGCTATCCCATTATATCTTCCTCCTTTAGCTCTGTTATATAATTAGGTATACCTGAAGAGATACCCTAAGTGTTTCCTGTTTGTTTAGGTATACCTGAAAGGATACCCTGTTTCCTGTTTGTTTAGGTATACCTGAAGGGATACCCTAAGTGTTTCCTGTTTGTTTAGGTATACCTGAAGGGATACCCTAAGTGTTTCCTGTTTGTTTCTTAATAATATAATAATAATAATAATAATAATAATCAAATTCTAGGGTTTTCGTTTATAACTTAAGAACGCCTTATCCGATAGTCTTGAAATTTTGCACTCTGGTATACTATGAGTAGAGAAAGGTTCCTGTGCCTGTTGGCATGTGCAGGAGCTCTCTGCTCAGTTTTATATAACTATTCCCGGGTTTGTCTTCCGTGCGATATCCTGAGTAAGCCTCTTCTGCTCGCCTTCAAACTTTCAACACTGGTGTATCCTGCTTAGAAGAAAACTTGGGTTGTTATAGGAATATGTAGATGCCAGTTTTATTTTTAAAATGGTATAGGTTTTTTCACTATTATTATTATTCCAAGAAATAACTAGAGTATCTTTTAAAGAGCATCTATATTTAATGGTTGATGCATCTTATGAAAAAGATATTTTTTCTTTTGGTTTTAGACTGTGTAGCCTCAAATTTGTCATTGTCTTACACAAACACTTTCTCCAGGTAAACAGTTAAGAAGAAAAGTGAAGTTGTTCGAGTGTGATTGACTTAAAACTTTCAGTGTTGTGCTTTTCTTAAAGTGTTGCCAAGATTTTGATTTGTGTAAATTTTAATTTGCTCAGTTTATTAAACTGGTTTTCATGCAAAAACTGAGGAATATTTACCTTTGATATACTTTTGATGAGTTTCGAGTTTTTCTACTCCCGGAGTCCAGCCATGGGCCGGGCTCGTATGGTGTTTGCCTGGTCAACCAAGCTGTTGCTGCTGGTGGCCCACTGACCCACATATCCATCACAGCCTGGTTAATCTGGCACCTGGTGAAGATACTTGTCCAATTTCCTCTTGAAGACTCTACACTTGCCTCTTCGGGTCGACTCAAACCTTGAATACTGGTGTATCTTTGACATAGGTTTGAATTTATTTTGGGTTTTGTAGAACAACCCACATTGGGATGGAACTCATTAGCTCTAGATCTTTCGCACTCGTGCGTCATCAGGAGCTGTGCAATGTTGCAAGACAGAACAGATAAAAGGTATCAATGGCAGGCCATGACACGGAGTCATTCTGTGACATGGGCTGCCACTGATACATTCTGCCTTGCCTCAGAGAATTTCCCCTTATCTGTTGCTGTCTTGCAACATTGCATAGCTGCTGGCGACGCACGAGAGTGCGAAAGATCTAGAGCTAAAGATTTCCAACCTAATTTGGCTTGTACTACATTAAGATCGCCTGTTTACGAGTATTTGCAACTGGGCTTTGTGCTCGCCACTTTACTATTTTTATTGGAGAAATTGGTGAAGTTAAAATACTGGTGTTCGTGCGATAATTTCTGAGTTCCGATAACCTGACAATCAACTGAGAGTCTTCATGTGCTAATATATTTTAGAATGTAGATGAATAGTTCAGAGAACCGACAAGTTGATAAATTAAACACATGTGCAACACTTGGGTATCTTTATTGAGGAAACGTTTCACCACACAGTGGCTTCATCAGTCCAATACAGAGAAGAATGGTGCAATATCTTTCTGATATTAACCATTCTCCTATATGGACTGATAAAGCCACTGTGTGGCGAAACGTGTCCACGATGAAGATACCCAAGTGTTGCACATGTGTCTAATTTATCATATTTTGTAATATTATTATCTGTGAGATAACTAGAGATTGTCTCTTCTGAGTGGCTTTTATACTTAAAGTCTCGTTTTCGTAATAAAAGGTTCGAATTACTCTTGGGTTGAATAATTGTCACTTCTCCATTTAATGAAGAAATTGGGATACGGGTTTCCATGTGATTACTTTTCAGTGCCTTTTTTTGAGTGGCTTCAAATTTTCAACATTGATATTTAATTGCACTCGAAACATGACGCACTCTGCACTGTTCCTGTTGCCTACACTGAAGTAGAGGGGGCTGGGCATATGAGATACAGGGATACCATTCTCGGATCACTGATGTTGAGAGGGTTGGGCTTATGTGGTACTGGGATACCTTTCTTGGATCACCGAGGTAGAGGGAACCTTTCTCGGATCACTAAGATAGAGGGAACCTTTCTCGGATCACAGAGGTAGAGGGACCTTTCTCGGATCACTAAGATAGAGGGAACCTTTCTCGGATCACTAAGATAGAGGGAACCTTTCTCGGATCACTAAGGTAGACGGAACCTTTCTAGGATCACTTAGGTAGACGGAACCTTTCTAGGTTCACTAAGGTAGACGGAACCTTTCTAGGATCACTTAGGTAGACGGAACCTTTCTCGGATCACTAAGGTAGACGGAACCTTTCTAGGATCGCGCAGCGACTGGAACACATCTAGTTTGCTTGAAGTGGTTCACTTGTTTTTCACTGTTTACCTCATAATTTTGCTTGTAAAAATGCCATAAAAAATGAGTTATTATTGACCGACATTACCATGACTGGCTGCATTTGATGCACGTGAAGGATTCTTGATCCTGGGAACTGCAGCTATTCACCCATTTTTAAATCAAACCTTAGTACCTTCCACTCTCTAGGCATTGTATGGCCCTATACGGTTTTAGCGCTTCCCTGCGAATAAAATAAATAAAAAAGTGTGAGTCACCATAAGGTCCAGACTTGCAAATATATGACGTTGCAAGTCACGTGACGGGTGCCTCGCCAGAATCGATACTCTGTGATCGTCAACACTTTATACTTGAGTAATTCACTCTGATTACACCCTTCAAGGGGGAGCCCCTTCGTACTCGTGAAGGGCTCATAATCCAAGCAATTGGAGCTGCTCTTAGATCAAACCCATTTTTCTCCTATTCACTAGGCATTGTGTGATCCCTATATATATATATATATATATATATATATATATATATATATATATATATATATTATATATATATA